TGTGTGTGTGTGTGCGCGCGCGTGCGTGCGTGCGCACGCGCGCTGGGTCTTGTTAAAACTCAGGTCTGACGGCTGGGAGCTCACGTGGTGAGCAGTGGGGTTGGAGCTGCAGGCTAGGGTGAGGCCAGTGCCCAGTCTCCTGGCCTTCAGCTACACTCGCAGGGGCTCAGCCGGTCGCAGGTGGCTGTGTCCATCACCGCACATTGTCTGTGCAGTGGTTTGTCCTGCCAGCACCATCCGCGAGGCCTAGGGCTCCATCATGGCCGCGCTGGGGGCCCACCGCCTTTGGGTTCTGGAGGCAGAGGAATGGCCCAGGCGCAGATGTGACAGGCTTTCCACAGGGCAGGGGCCCTGCTGAGGGCCTTCTGCCCATCAGTGCCCATGTCCTTCCTGTGTCTCAGGGCGACCCTCCTTTTCTCAGCTCACAAGGGCCTCGGTGGGGACCAGCCTTCCAGCACAACAGCGTGGAGCCCCTGCCCCAGGGGCCTTCAGCTCTCAGTACCACCGCCTCTTCCCTTTCAGGGGACAAGGAGGGACACCCAGTCCTCACAAGCACTGCTGTTGCCATAGCAGCCATCCCCTTGCTGAGGTGTAACTGACACAATAAAGTGCACTATTTCAAGCATACAATTTGATCAGTTCTGACACGTTTACATGATGAAACCATGACCACAATCTACAATAGATAGGGAACATTTCCATCATCTCACGCCTCCCCCCACCCCTGCCCCAGGCAACCCCAGGCCCGCTCTCTGTCCCTCGATCACTTGGCTTTTTCTAGAATGTTATACAAATGCCGTCACACCGCGTGCACCTTTTAAACTGACTTCTTTCACTCACATAATTAGTTTGAGGTTCCTCTGTGTTGTTGAGAGTGTTAATCACTCACTCCTTATTGCCGACTGGGCCCCACGGGATGGGTGTACAACAGTTGGTTTGTCCATTTGCTTGTCCACAGACATCTGGGGACTTGCCAGCTTGGGGCTCCTCCAAAGAAAGCTGCTGTGAGCAGTTGCGCACAAACCTTCGTGGGGACACGTGCCTCCTCTTGTTGGGTAAATACCTAGGATGGAATGACAGCAGCCTAGGACCTGGTTAGGTGTGTGCTTAGCTGTTAAAGACCCTACTGAGCTCTCTCCCAGAATGGCTGGACCATGTGCCAGTCAGCAGCACCAAGTGACAGCCCCGCCTGCACCCCTCACCCTGCTGAATTACATTTCATGCTTGTGTCTTGCCACTGTGCTAAGTGTGAGAATACAAAAGGTGCCAAAAAAATGGATACACATTTTAAGAAAGGAAAAAACTGTACTAAAATTGTAATACTCAATATCTACTGATAACATAAGATGAATACAAGTCACATTTGACTTCTGCAATTACAAGAGGTTCTCAAAGGGGTTACCATCAGTGTAATTTTAATATTGGGTTGTTGGAAAAGTCATGACATATTTTTTGTATGTTTTTCATTGCAAAAATGCATCATGACTTTTCCGAAAACCCAATAGTTTTTCCCTTCCTTTTTTTTTTTTTAAGATTTTATTGGGGAATTGGGGAAGGGGAACAGACAAGTTGCTGTCCTTTTGATCTTCAGTCTAGTTGTGGAGGACATCGCTTCACTGGCTCATGTTAGTATTGTGATCATTGCGCTCTTCCCAGGTGAGGCAGTGGTCACCGGCCATTGGATGGCTACTCACGGCTCACGAAAGCTCATGCTGGCTACCGGCCAGCCCCACTGCAGCCTACGCTGTCATCAGCGATGCAAGGCAGCCCAGGTCCAGGTTGAGCTGTTGTTCACCATCTTAGCTGTAAAGGGTGCAGCGTCACTGGCCTTCATGTGGGATCTGAACTGGGGCCCTGCTGCTCAGAGCTGGTGTCCCAAGCCAAATCCTAAACAGCACACCACTCGGCCGGCCCTCCCTTTCTTAAAATGTGTCTTCAGGGCCAGCTGAGTGGCTCAATTGGTTAAGAGTGTGAGCTCTGAGCAACAGGTTTGCCGGTTCGATTCCCACATGGGCCAGTGAGCTGCGCCCAAGCTGAGCTGCTGCCGAGCTGCCAACACTGGCAGGATGGCTCAGCTGGTGAGAGCACGTGCTCCTAACAACAAGGTTGCCAATTTGACTCCTGCATGGGATGGTGGCTACACCCACCCTCAACTAAGATTGAACGCGGCACCTTGAGCTGACCTGCTCTGAGCTGCCAACGGCCGGATGGTGACTGGACTTGGAGCTGAGCTAGCTGCGCCCTCCACAACTAAGATTGAAGGACAACAACTTGGCTGTTTCCCTTCCCCAATTCTCCAACACTGCTCCCCTTCCCCAATTCCCCAATAAAATCTTAAAAAGAAATGTGTCTTCCCCAATTCCTCAATAAAATCTTAAAAAAAAATGTGTCTTCATTTTTTTGCACCCTCTGTATTATTAGTTGAGCGCCTTTTTTCTTGTTGATTCTGCAGTATTTTCTACATAGGTGAGCCTGTCGTTTACCAATTGGAGCGTTGTGCTCATTTCCTTCCCATCTGTGCTGGCTGAACCTCCAGCCCAGCGCTGGACAGAGCAGAAAGCGCGGCTCGTTCTGCTTCTGATTCGGGGCAAGTGTTCATCTTTAACAGCTCGGTGTGATGTTGCCGTAAATGTTTATCAGGCTGGGAAAGTCCTCAGTGCCTAGTCGGCTGAGAGCTATTTGTTTAAAAATCAGGAATGGGTGTTGGGTCCTGTGCAATGCCTTGTCTACATCTATTGAGATAATTGTATGGTTTTCTTTCTGTCAACATAGAAAGTCACATTGGTTGGTTTTCATGTGTTAAGCCAGCGGTTCTCAACCTTCCTGATGCCGTGACCCCTTAATACAGTTCCTCATGTTGTGGTGACCCCCAACCATAAAATTATTTTCGTTGCTACTCTATAACAGTAATTTTGCTACTGTTATGAATCGTAATGTAAATATCTTTTTGTTTTCCGATGGTCTTAGGCGACCCCTGTGAAAGGGCCGTTCGACCCCCAAAAGGGTCGCGACCCACAGGTTGAGAACCGCTGTTTAAGCCAACTTTGCATCCCTGGGATGAACCCCACCTGATCATGACGCATCTTCCCTTTTGTAGACTGTTGGATTTCATGAACTAAAATTAAAAATGTTTTGCACCAGGTTCTGTCCAGCAGTGTCTGTTCTTGGCCTCAGGGCCATGGGGGCCTCATGGTGTGAGTTGGGGGGTCTGCCTTCCCTTTCCTTTCCTGGTAGTGTTTGTGTAGAATGGGTTTTAGTTCCCTCTCCAGTGTTTTGTAGAATTTCTCAGTGAAGCCCGCTGGGCCTGGTATTTTCTTTGGGGGGAGGTTTTTAACTAAAAATTCAAATTATTTAATAGATATAATAAGGTTACTTATTTCTTCTAGAGTAAGCTTTGGTATTTTTTTGTTTTTCAATGAGCTGTCCGTTTCATCTAAAGTGTCAAATTTATTGGCACTAAGTTATACATAATATTTCCTGCTATTCTTTTAAAGTGTAGAATCTGTAGCAATGTCACCTTGCTTATTCCTAAATCAATAATTGTGTCTTCTCTTCTTTTCTCCAGATCCATCTGTAGGTGATTGATCGATTTTATTGATTGAAGACCCAGCTTTTGGTTTTATTATTTTTCTTTATTGTTTTTCTGTTTTCTATTTCATTGATTTCTAATGTAGTCATTACTCTTTGCCTTTTTCTATCTCATTTGGGATTCATCTGTTCTCATTTTTTCTAGTTTCTCTGGATGGAATCTGAGCTCGCTGACTGGAACCCGTCTTCTCTAAACAGTACAGGTGTTTAGTGCTATAACTCTAAGTACTGCTTTACCTGCATCCCACAGGGTTTCATACGTTGTCTTTCCATTTCCATTCAGTTCAAAATAATTTTTAATTTTTTTTTGGTGTATTCTTCAATCCATGGGAAATTAAGAAGTAGGTTGTTTGGTTTGCAAATATTTGAGGCTTTGCCAGATTTCTGTTAGTGATTTCTAATGTAATGCCAACGTAGTCAGATAACATTCTTTGAATGACTTGAATTATTTTAAATATTGAGACTTATGGTCCAGAAATGTTGGCCTGTTCTATATAATATCAATTAGGCCACATTAGTGGATGGTATTGTTCTAGTTTTCTGCATTCCTAGTGTTTTCTATCCCCTTCTTGAATCAAATAGCGGGAGAGGAGTGTTGAAATCTCTGAGTATAATCATGGATTTACCCACTTCTCCTAAACAGTTTTGCTTCATGGGTTTTTATTATCTGTTGTTAGGTGCATACAAATTTAGGACTGTTATGTCCTTTTGACGACTTTACCAGTTTGTCATAATGGAATAATCCTGTTTCTCTCTGGTCTTGCTCTGACACCTACTTTTTCCCATATTAATGTAGCACCCCAGGTTTCTTTTGAGAGTGTTTAGCATGGTGTATATTTTCCAATCCTTTTACTTGTAACCTGTTGTGTCTGTATTTGAAGTGTGTTCTGTGTAGGCAGCATATAGTCGAGTCTTGCTTTTCTACTCAGTCTGCTAAACTCTGCCTCTTCACTGGGATGTTTGGGTCATTTACATTTAGTGTGATTATTGATATGGTTGGGTTTAAATCCACCATCTTGATATTTATCTTTTATTTGTCGCTACTGTTTTTTTCCCCTCTTTTTTTGCTTTCTTTTGGATTATGTTTTAAAAATTATTCCATCTGTCTCTTTTGTTGCCTTATTAGCTACAATTCTTTGTTAGGTTATTTTAGTGGTTGCATTGGGATTTAATACTGTACATTGTTAACCTGTCAATGTCTATTGTAAGTGATATCATACTATCTCTTAATCAGTAAAAGAAACTTACAGGGCTGGCCGAGTGGCTCAGTTGGCTAAGAGCTCGCTCAAGAGTTTGAGCTCTGAGCAACAGCGGTTCGATGCCTGGCCCGAGCTGAGCTGCCGCTGAGCTGCTGCTGAGCTGCCGC